TCTATACATGTACCTTTGTTAATATCAATATTGGATGGTCTTGTTATGGTATGTAGACCTGGGCAATATCCATTTTCTAGCAGTACTTGTAGAAAATCTTGATCTAGTATTTCTTCTCCCAATATATCAAAATTAAAGTCTCCCATTAAAATATTGTTTTTATATTTTTTGTTTATTTTCAATAATTCTTTGAGATTCAAAAGGAATTCAGATTTAGATAAATCATGGGATCTGTAAATTGCAGACAGCATCAAATTTTTGTTGTTTTCTAGTGTAATATTAGAGTTAATTATTTTTAATTTATCTATTTCAAGAATTTCTGTAATTTCGATGATTTCTTCTTTAATGTACAAAACAACTCCATCTGATTTGTTTATTTTACTTTCATTATAATATATTTTATAGTCTGGAATATTGAACATTTCATGATTTTCTAAATACCATGTTTCTGTGCATACTATTATACATGGTTTTTTATCGAGGTTCTTCAGAAATACTAGCAATTTATTGTAATTTTTTTTTAGGCTTCTGATGTTTATACATAGAATGATATTATTTTCTTTGCATATATATTTATTTAGATCATCAATATTATCTGTTTTATGTTCATTTTCAAATATAATATCATATAAATTGTTATCCATATTGTAATATTGCAGAAAACTATTTAGTACTCCTGGTTTTATTACCTGTTGGACTTGGTGTAGATAACGATGATAACGATAAACTGTTATTTATTCTCGGACGGTTATATATCTTGCGGGTGTTTGTTTCAAAGTTTATTCTACCAAAATACCTTTGATGAGTTGGTTGAATTGGATAATCTGTCATTTCAATATACCTTTTTATTATCATTTTTAAAACTTCACACATTTCGCTGTCGATTGCACTATGGTTTACGTTGTAGTTTTTACTATATGTTTCATTGTGGAAAATGCAGTTTGGACATTGGAGTATGCTGCTACTACACATTTTTGCTTGGTGCTTGCCTGCACATTTATAACACGTTGGCTCTTTTTTTGCTTTTTCACACTTTCCGCCGCCGTGGCCAAAACCTGAGCAGTTGTAACACGGATATGTATTGATGACGTCGAAGACTCTGCAGTTTTGACAACCAATAAATAATTTGTTATTATTGTTTTTATATGTTTTGCAACGATTGCCGAAAATCGTAAGACTCGCGCGAGGTTAACGAGCGGCTAAGCGAGAGGAGCCGCGTTCGGTTCTCGGGAGAGAGAGAGCGCGTAAGGGGCAATGACCGGGAGGGGAGGCTCCGACCGGCAGTATGACTGTGTTACTCAGTCCGTCAGCGTCGCGCAACCTCCAATCTTCCCGAGTTCCCCGTGTTTTGCCAGAGACATTGAGAAATCGAGTGCGTGGGTGGGTGTGCTAGCAGCAGCAGCAGCAGTACCAGCAACAGCAGCAGCAGCAATAGCAGCAACATCAGTGGCAACAACAACAACAGCAGCAATAGCAATCGAAGCGGTGCAGCAAGCAGCGGATCAGTCTATTAACAGCGTGTTAGTCGGATACGGTTGGCCACCGTATCCTCATCGATATCGCGGTAGGTGCACCTTCTTCCCCTTTTAATTGTTGTTACAATTTGCGTGCGAATCCGCGCAGCGAGCGCGAAGAATTTATTTGTTGCGTGCGAGCAGGTAGTTCGCGGTAATCGCGGTTTTCTCTCTCTCTCAATCTGCGTGTCTTGTCATTCACGCGAGCGTGCGAAAGTCTCTCGGCAAAACTCTCGTGTGAATAAGTTGCGTTAATAAAGTGCATTCTAATCGTTACTTTCGAGTCAAAATAGTCGTTATTAAGTCTTTCCTTTGTCCGGAGGTCGCGTCAGTGTTTATTTTCAGTGGATTCGAATTCGCCGGTTGCGTAGCACGAATCGTGCGAATTCCGATAGACGCGAGTCGACAACTTAGGTTCCAGCGGCGGCCGCACGAGCGCTACTAGCGAGGGGTGACAGCGCCGCCAAGCGGTGAGTTGGGGGAACCCAACTCGGAACAGTGAAGAGACTCTGCGCAGGCGCACTCCGAGGCAAGGTAGGTTACTGTGCTTTGAGCACATAGATAACAAGGCTTCGTCTAGTTATAATAAGGGCACTTTTTAGAGATTATCGACTAAACGACAGCCTGTTACAGTTTATATAAAATAGATGGAACTTCTACTATTGCAGTTACTGTTTTATTTTTTTCATTTGTAAATACATGATTTACTTTGCATTTTTCTTCGTATTGACTAAAATTTCTTGCATTAATATCAGTTTCTATATCTTTTACATTTGTTGTGGAAGCTTTAGAAATTCCTACTACTTTAATTATCGGTTTACGTATTTCTTCTTTTAGAACAGTAAGTGCCGGTAGTTTTTTTTGTAAAATTTTTTCTAATACTGTGACATTTTCTTCTGTCATGCAGTTGACAATTATTGTGTCAGTATTTTTAACTTGTACACTTTTTGTTTGTATGTTTTTGTCTTTAATTAAGTAATGTGCTACTTGATTTTCTAAGTATATGTTATCATTACTCTTTTTCTTTATTATTAATCTTGGTATTCTTTTGGGTTTAGGTTTTGGTAGTGCAATTGTTTCAGCATATGTTTTTCTCATAATATTAGTATTTGCATTTTTATTTTGTTTTTCTTTAATTAGTAGTTCATTGAGCAATTCATTTTTTTCTTTTGTTTGTTTGTACAGTTCTTTCAATAGGTTATTTTCGGCTTTTAATTGTTGTAATTCATCCAAATCACTGATCTGTGTTACGTCCATATTATCATCGTTTTCATTTAAAATTTGCTTTTCATGCTCAAGCTCATTTAATATTTCCTGTTTTAATTGTTCTCTACTTACAAGTTTGAATTGTGTTATAGAAGCACTAGCTTGTTCACTTAAGTCCCCATATGGCAAGTTTGATGTTAGTGCAAAATTTGGATGCTCCTGGCATATTATGAATGAGCTGTTTATTAGTTTAATTGCATTTCCTGCATTGATTTTTGCTACTATTTCACTCGTATGATAGAAATTACCACATACTAAACACACAACTGCTCCAACTTTTGTATTTGGATGACACTTGAAATGCTTATGTAGCGATGATGCGTCAGGCGGTTGCACCTCCGCACCGCTCGACGGCGACATCGCGACTGAAATTTATTCTTACAAGATCAAAAAATGACACGAATGTTGCTAAAGTTACTCCATCAGCAGGCACTTTAGCTACTCTTGAAAAATTAAAAATGAATTGTACTAAAATGGAATGGCTGATGCCTTATGTAACTGACTGATAGGGAAAATATCAAGCTTCGCAATCATATTAGATGTGATAAAATAATAACTATGTGTTATCGTAATTGAAGCTGTATGAGTATCTAAAATTACATTAAAGCATGTTTGAAGTATGAAAACATCAAATCAATTGGAAAAAAATCCCTTTGTTATTTTATCAGAAAATCGAAAAAATAATATTTGTGCTGATGCTAGTAAATTTGATCACCGTAACATCTGTAATATAAAACTATTTCTAAATTCTCAATGTTATCTGTATGTAAATCTTAATCTGAATATTAAGAAAAATTAGTATGTAATACTTTGTGATATGTATTCTAATTTTCAAAACGCTTACTGTGGAATAGAAAATGAGCCATTGCTAACAAAAATGATTTTATCAATAATATTTCTTTAATAGCTATTGACAGCTCAAAACAAAATGAATCAATTAATAGTATATCTGTAAATGTACGTTTTGAATTTGACACAAGAGATGATTTTCCTGACAATACTGCTGCCTACTGCTTAATTCTTCACGATCGCATTATACAATACAATCCGATCAGTGGCGATGTGAAAAAATTAATGTAGTATATATATCTAGTAAAAATAGAAATTATATCAGATAAATGTATATTATATTTATTTTTTAATATATATAATTTAATAAATACTAATAAAATTTTTCACATACGAATGTCTCTTTTTCTATAACCCCCTGTAAACATTATATATTATTTTATAGTATTTTATATTATTAAAAATTATTACCTCTCTAATATTTCATACTCAATATATATATATATATATATATATGTATATATTCTATATATATATAGAATTCCGGCTAGGCTGTCCGTTTGGCTCTCACCAACACTCGTATATTTTGTGTTGAAAGGACCTTTGAACACTTGTAGTCTAGGCAAAACTTCCCCCATTCATATTTTCTATCCAATTAGAATCATTGGCTTTTCAATGTAAGACAACACATTTTTGATTCTTTATCAACATGATGTAGAGTAATAGTGTATCGTACACGCGTCTCTTCGAAACCAAAGAAAATTCAATTTATTATAATGAACATCAACTTGTTCCTTCACTGCTCAATCACATCTTTATTTTTCTAGTAACGAGGCATGAGACATGGAGCTTGGGGCTGTCTGGGTATTCCGCGATAATCAGAAGCCACACGACAGCAGCGCTATAGGTAAAAGAGCACATCAATACTAATACTAAAATCTGATTGTTCTAGTTGAGCTGGAGATAGAGGCTCTAACAATAAGAGTCTATCATATTGAAAGGTTATCTGTAACGATCTAGAATAGTATGATAACTCGGCATTTTCGGAAAAAATGTTTCAAACAAATGTGATAGGATTTTTCCCTAGCTATTCAACAGTGACCTTGAATTTGAATTTGAGCTTGACCTTCAAGCCTATTTTAATTACTTTATTCAAGGGTAAGCTTATTTTTTCTGCTTTATTTTGTTTTTTTGTAGGTATAGAACGTTTTTTGGTTAACTTTTATTTGAAAATTGAATTGATCTTTTAGAGAAGTATATATATATATATAAAATAAAATAATAAAAAGACCACAATAACAAATAAAATTTTATTCAAAATATGATGAATGTTTTTGTCAATTTTTTTATAATACAAGTTATATACCATTGATACTTGTTAGTATTATCGTACAATACAGAATCTTCTTTTCACAAGACTTGTCCTTATTTTTATGGAAATTCATAAAACTTGTTGCAAAGAGATTTGGCTGCATACATAATACAGTTTAAAGCATCTCTTACTGTTTTTGAATTTGTTAATACAGCGTAAATAACGGTGAAATAAAAGATATATACAGATGCTACGTGGATGATATAAAGCCTGAAAAAAGTATTAAACTAATATAGAAATCAGGAGATAATATATAAATAAAATAAATCAATCAATTTTTCATATTCAATACATGACTTATACTATATATATATTGTGACGGTAAAAGTCAAATTAGCGCTAATTGCCTAACCTAGTGGCTGCCTGCGGGGGCAGCACTTACCGGTGGACGAAAAATATAACAACGGAATTCGGCACGCGAGCAGACGGAACGCGCGCGATTGAAATCGAACCAGTGAGGGACTAACCATCATCACGCTCGCCCGTAATTACGACGCCAGTTACCGATAAGCGAGCCACCAGAAAGAACTCTACAATAGAAGTGTCCGAACCAGAGCTGACCTGAGCCAGCTGAAGGCCATCGTACCTGCGACATCGAAAGAGTGTGTGTGTGAGGTTTCGCCATCGAGGGCGAAACCACGTGCGCGCGAATTCGCGACCCGCGACAAAAGAACAGACAGACTTTCCCGCAGTGCAAATTGTTCCTTTTTGTCTTCGTGCGTCTATAGAATAAAGGTAAGCTGGCCAGCTTAATCTCGCGATCGCGATTGCATGCGTAATAATTATTGCCTCGCGCTCGAAGCGTGTATGTAATAGCTCTACGGACAAAGAGCAGCGAGCGTCCCGACACTGCATGTTGTTGTCGAGCGAGCGCCGATGTAAAAATAAACACGCGGGCCGACTCTAATGTAGCATTTAAAAGATAATAAAGAGTTCTCGTTCATGTACGAATCATATTAACAAGTAATTTCGGAGCGTTCTCTTTGTATTCGTAGTTAGTTGGTTGACTGACTCCTGTTTCCCCTTGCTCTCCGACTTCCCAGTCTGATATAGGTGATTACGAGCGTATTTACGTGATCGCCTTACTAAAAATTAATTAAACGTTAAGCACCTCGTTACATGGCGCCCAACGTAAAAGAACCTACGGTGTTTCTGATTGTTCAAAACACCGGTTCTCAATAGTGACCTTGCGCTCAGTCAACCAGCGACTTAGGTGGCAATCAAGTGTTGTTGTGCACACTTGATATTGAGAGCCAAAATAGTAAACATAGCCTGTTAGTTAGCTTGTGAAGGCCCGCCGCGGCGTAAAATCGTAAATAATAACTGTAAGCGCGTGCGAGTGCAACCGAACGACTCTTAGAAGCGTAAACACCAGTAAATTTTGAAAGTTGCCGCAAATCAATAATATTGTACCCGTTAGCTCGGGGAACTAACACGGGCAACTTTCAAACGAAATTAATCCAATTTGATAATTTTATTTGATGTCGTGTTGTCTTAAAGTAAATGTTTTTTAATATTATTAGCTGCGACTATTGGTGACTACGCGCAACGCTCGTTAAAATATTTTAGATACTAACCAAAACAGCCGGCTAACAAACAGTTAGTGCGTCTGATAGGCAGGATCATTATATTGCGTAATAACGAGCGAAGAGTCTTTCGGCAGATAAAGTTATAATTGTGATTTCTCAAATCCAACCATGGACTCGAAAATCATTTAAAAATGTAAATATGATTTCGTATGAGTAGATAGGAAAGGACAACATGTGAAACAATTCGGAATATGCGAGGTCATTTTCAATACGTTGTCATCTTATTCACATTTATTATACCAAGGTTTGTTTATTCTGTGCGACCGTTACAGTCTAAACATCGCCGTTACCTCAATTTCAATACGCGTATTCGCGCAGACTCGATGGATACTATTTACACTTTCAAAATCGCCTTTATATATATATCTACAAATGGAATTTATCTCCAATCGCAAGAGTCTATAAATCCAATTCATTTCGTACGTTAAATTATTCGTTATAATTCGACTTCTTTTATTCGCATGAGTCTCTATATTGAACTTACTCGCTATGTCGTCAATTTTCTCGGTTCACACTCTCACTTACATGACAGCAATGACGGAACGTGATCTCGCCTCATTCTTCGAAATTCACCATGCCGACGTGGATATTCAGGAGATGAATATCTGTCCAAAAAGATTATCACCCGAGATCCAGTGATTACTCCTATCGGATGATTCCAGTGATGCGATTACAAAAGCAAGCCATGTGTCGGTCGGAAGAAAGAACGGTCTTCCCGGCAGGACGGGCCACTCGATGTTGAGATCGTCCCACAAAGAAAGTGTTCCTCCGACGAAAGGAAAACGGCACCGGATCCAGAGAAGGTCCGTGCCCGCCGAGTGCTGATCGAAAAGTATTCGAAACCGATCGAGCCGTCGTCAAACGCGCGCAAGCAACACCCCCCTCCGACGGCCTCGCGAGCCCGCTCCCAACCGAACACATGGCTCACGAGCGCTACCAGCGGGATCGGTCGCTCTGGCGCTCGAGTTAGCGGCACACGTTACAACTCTCTCCCCTTTTTAGTGGTTGGGCTCAACCGCTCAAAAACAAAAAACCCAGCTGGAAATCCGCAATCATTCCCAGAACACCAAACAACCATACACACCGAAACGGAGGCCGCGACCTCGCACATTCTCCGAGTCACACTAATCGGAACACCCGATACGCACGCCCACACAAACCATTCGCACCATGCCAAAATCACGTAGATCGCACCGCCTCACGCAATCAAACACACTCACACTCGCATTTTACGCTTACTTACATTTAACAATTCAATTAATTTGCAGATCTTCCTTCGCTTTATACATATAGGTTCGCTTTATACATATAGGTGCATCTAAATTCTTCGATTCGCTTACAATCTACACTAATTCTCACACAAATTAAGTATGTCCATGCCTTACACGCGCGTCCTTCAAATTCCGCTTGGTATTACTTCAATTTCAAATTGAAACACACCCTTCCTGAAGGATCACTCTTACTTTTACTAACACCAAAATGCTTTAAACTAAGAAACGCTTTAAACTAAGCCTTATAATATTTTCTTAGATTTGCACGATTATAGACGCCCCTCTCAACACTATGATCGTCCGGATCAACTAAAACGTAAGCATTGCGACCGAGGTCCCTCGCGACTTTGAAAGGCCCTTCGAACAAGTGGAAAAACTTCTTGGTAACTTTATCCAATGCGTTAGACAAATGTCTTACTCTCAAAAGTATTAAGTCTCCTTCTTTTATCACAACCCTGGATGGCTTTTGATGCTTGGTACGAGCCGCATGACTTTTTTCAATGTTTTTCTTTGCAAAAGTTATAAGGTATTTATGGTTAATGGGATTTGATTGTGGAAAATTTAAAAACGTAGTTATTTTATCTTGAATTTTTTGTCCAAAATGCAATTCATTAGGTGCACAGCCTGTATTATGATGAGTCGTTATATTGAATAGTTCCTGCATTTTAGATAAATATAATGGCCAGGAGGTATGTTTATTTTCGCAATATGTTCTGAAAAATCGGCCTATTTCTCTCATTACCCGTTCGGTGGGATTGGATTGGGGATGTCTGACTGAACTATATACAACTTTTATTCCGAGCTTTTCTAATTCGATTTTCCACTTATTGGACGTAAATTGACTACCGTTGTCACTCAAAATTCTCTCGAATTTTCCGCATTCCGGAATGTATTCTTCGATAAGTCTCCTAAGTGCGGCGTCTGTCGTGGCTTTCCTCATGGGGTAAAGACGAATTAACCTCAAAAATGCGTCCAAGACCACGAATATGTACTCCACTCCCCCCCGACCGCGAGGGAGAGGGCCATAAAAATCAACCATCACCAGATCTGATGGCTTTTCGGCCCTGACGAGCTGATATGGCCCCTCCATCGCGATCGTGAGATATTTAACGCGCTGGTAAAGGTCGCACCTTAACACATGTGTCTTTACGTCTTTCGTCATAGTACGCCAATAATAGTATCTTTTTAAATATGACACTGTTTTGAATACTCCAGGGTGACCTATTTGAAAATGGGTGAGTCTCACTATTTCGTCTTTTATTTCCTTTGGTATTACGTTACGCCATGTTTTCGATTTATGCTCTTTCATGAATAATACATTCTCATAAACCTGTAAATGTTCGTGTTTTCTATTTTTATTATTTAATTGTTTAAGAAAATTTTGGCAAGCTAGGTCTTGGTTTTGCTTTTCTGCTATATTCTTCATGATTTGTTTTAATGAGGTATCTGCATTAAACAATGCCATTATTATCAATGAAGATAATTCGTCACTCTTTATCACTGATAAACTATAATTATAAAGGGATGAAATCATGAGAGTTTCCTGTGTATATTCCTTGAATTTACTTTCGGGATTACGACTCAAAAAATCAGCCACTGTGTTGTCCTTGCCTCTACAGTGTACTACGGTGTATGAATATTGTTGTAAATACAGAGACCATCTTACCAGCCGTGAATTGTGAAATACGGTCGAATTCAAAAATGTTAACGCTTTATGATCCGTTACGATTTCAAAAGTCCGGCCCACTAAAAACTCTCTGAATTTCGCAATACTATACACGATGCTTAGAAGCTCTAATTCTGTCGTTGTATATTTTGTTTCAGTTTGTGTTAAACATCTACTGGCAAGAGAAATTATACCATGTTCCTTATTTTCGTCTATTTGATATAAAATACCTGCTATACCACTATTGCTTGCATCTGTTTGAACTTTAAATGGGATATTCGGAATAACATGACTCAAGCAAACAGTATGAGTAAAATTCCGCTTTAATGCGTCAAAGGCGCGAGTATGTTGTTCGGTCCATAACCATTCTGAATTATCTTTTAATAAATCTCGAAACGGTGATATAAAATTGTTGTGTTTTATTGCGAAACGTCGGTAATAATTACATACTCCAAGTATGTGCTGTAATTGTTGTTTGTTTTTAGGATTTTCAAAGTTAGTTATTATCGCGACACGTTCTGGGTCAGGAATTATCCCGTTATATGACACGATAAATCCAAGGAATTTTATTTTATCTAATAAAAATTTGCATTTTTGTAAATTTATTGTGAGACCATTTGCCATCAATTTTGAGAAAATGACTTGCAAAACCAAAATATGTTCTTCGAATGTTTGAGTACCAAT